CCGCCCAAACAGCAAAAAATGACACACGCCCCCGCCCAAACAGAAAAAATATAACACCCGAAAAGCCCAAACAACAAAAAAGACCAGACAACAAAAACATAAACACTCTTACCCAGAAGTAAGCTCTATTCTTCGCTGCATTCCAAGTAGCCTTCTGCGGAGTTCCGAAGGGCCGAAGACTTAAGCAGTACCCATTTACTTCAATGAAGATACCCCTCATTACCCCTCCCTTCCTGCCGAAAAGGCGGCTACATTGAAGCCGGGGACATGGAGCGTATCGTCAACTACATGGATGAGGATCGGAACACAGCTGGTCCAAACAACATTCTAGTGGCGGTCGAGAGGTATAGTGCCCTGGGGTGCTGCTCTTACTGCTTTGGCTGCTCCTCTTGCTACTGCTGCTGCGGATACTGCTGCTGCTGATACTGCTGCTGCGGATACTGCTGCTGTTTGTGCTTCTTGGCAGCTGTTTTGTTGCTCATGCTGCTGCCCCGTCGCCAGCAACTCTTAGTGCTGCAACACTCCAGGTGAATAAATCCATAATAGGACACTTGCAAGTGTGCTGCAAAAAGTGGCACCGCCAACATTGCGTAAGACTTATGTGACTTACACGAATAAATTTGACTCTGCAGGAGCACTTCGCCGCGGGCCGCGACTTGGCGGAGGCGCGGGCGCTGCCGGACGACTCCGGCCTGCGGGCGTCCAATGCCGAGGGCTTCTGCAGCGAAGAGGAGTGCCTGTATCTACATTTTTCGGATGTAAGTTGAACAACTTGCATCTAGCTGTCTATTGACTCTTTCCAGGCGGAGAACCTCAGTTAAGGTTTTTGACATGGGACAGCAGGGGAGGCAGAAGGGTAAAATGTTGGGTGCTGGTGCTGTGCTGAGGTGCTACCTTCAATCTGATCGCTGCCGTGGCCTCCGAGCTACCTTGGTGGCCGTGCAGCAATCGCTACTGGCAGCTTGCACGATTTTAACGTCCCCGTATGTTACCCGGGCTTGCAATTTTTGAAGAACTGCTTGAAGGGTAGTAAGGTTTCTAGAGTTGTAACTAGGCCCGGGATAATGGGGACAGTTATGCCTTGGAATCCGTGAACTTGCATGCGTTGCCTGAGGAGTCCCCGAAGCAAAGGGCCTTTAATTCAAGAAGGACCGAGAGTTTGCCTTCCAGCAAATACCAGATGAAGCCTGGCCGGCTGATGTTTCAGAAGTGACTATCAAGTGGCTGTGCCTCGAGACGCGCAGGAGCAGTGGGAAGAAGAGTTGCTTGCAGAGCGAGGGCTGCAACGGCGGTGATGGCAGTGCCCGCCTTGAAGCTGGGCTCAGTCTTTCGCCTGAGCTTGCATGTTGACATGTTTTCGTGTCTCTGAAGCCAAGGATGCATTCCTCAGCCTCTTCGGGGCTTCCAGGGAAGTGAAGGTGGCCACTTACAAGGCAACGCCAGCAGAGAGCACAAGCTTCACGAGCTGCAACCCTGTGTCGTTCGGACAGGATGGGCACCCTCTGCGTGTGACATGCGCCCGTGTGGACCGGCCGGACCAACCTCTTTTGATCCAGCGTGCGCAAAAGGGCCAGGGCCATTCGACAGGCACGTTAGCCAAACGAAGTGTGAGTCAAGTGTGCGGGGCATCTTTCAGAGGTCGAGAGCATCTGGAGTGCATTGACAGCTGCGCGTTTTAAAGGCGAGAAGGAGGAGGCCTTCCAGGAAGTTGATGACACGGCCGTACGACAGGCGCACTGCAAGTGAAGGAAGAAAATTGGTACTGTAGCGTTTCCACCCGTCCGTGTTGGCTGCTGGGACCTGAGGCAGCAACACTCGAGTATTGCAAAGCAGTGTCTGCCTCCAAGAGCAGTCTCCCCTGGCCTCCAATGGGCTTTGTGTGGGCAGTTTCTAGAAGCCTGGCTCAAGTCTGAGTCATAGACCTTCCAGCCTACTCTAGGGGGCTGTGCAAGGCATTGGAATTTCAGGCTGCGACTGTTGAGCCTGAAGCAAAAAAAAGTAAGGTCCTGTTGCGCTCCGTGTTGAGAGCTGCGCTTCCACAGGGTCCGAGGGTCTGCGCTTCCACGCTGGCGGAGTTGAGCCGCCAAGAATGATCTTGGCAACATTTTTGATCAGGTGCTTCCAAGGAGTCACAACTACTTTATGAGACATTAGGTGTGCCAGAAGTCAGGGCCCAGCTGTTTGTTTGGGACATTTAGTATAATGCGGTATGATACAATATGATAGCATAATATAGTATATAATTTAGTTTTATATTATACTCTAAGATATTATACCATAATTTACTGTAGTATAATATACCATAATACACTGAGGCTTGCGCCTTTTGATGCTGGAGCGATTCTTCGGAGATGTCAAATGCCATCAGATCTACAGAGCCTGGGAAATGAGGCTGACTCAACTTGCACTATATTATATCATGTTATGTTGTGCTATGTTGTGTTATATTTTATTGTGTTGTACTATATGGTACTATATTATACAATATTATCGTACTATTTATACTATATTATACTATATTATACTGTATTATATTATACCATGTTATACTATATTATTCTGTATTATATTATATTGTATTATACTATCTCTTAGCACGCTTTAATTGCCAAGGATGCTGTAGCATGCTAGTGTCTCCGGGATATGAAGGGCCCCAGTGTGATGACCGCGCTTAGTTTGATGAGGCTTCCAGGTAATCATGCCGCAACATGTTGCAACAACAAGTACGGCCTCTTCAAGTGTGACAGCTACATTCTGTTTCAAAGAAGGAAGCCCCCTCAACCCTTTCGAATGCTTGTATATCATAGTATCTTCTAGTATATGAGTATATTCTAGCATCTTATAGCATGTTCTATTGTATCATAGTATGTTATAGTGTATCATCGTTCTATTTACCTCATTCTTTTTGATATGGTTTTCAGCTCTGCGAGGACAGGGGGCTGCTCTCCCAGGCCCTGTACCTGCAGTCACGGATGGACCAGGTGGCTCTGCTCTCCGAACTCCGCAGCCGCCTGCTTCACAGAAGCTTTTGAGTGTTCCCCAAATTATGCGGTATAGGGATATCTCTCTCTCTCTCTCTGTTTCTCTCTCTCTCTCTCTCTCTCTATGCGTCCCCGCCCAAAGATCTACCTTGTCGGGTGGCTACACGATCTTTGGATCCATACCTACTGAACTACCTGTCTTGTGAGTAATATGATTATTGATGCCATTATATATATATATATGGTTTAGGGTTTCCCAAGGTTATGGGTACCTTTTTAAAAGCTACCATTGTTTGCACTTGTAGCTTATTACTGTCATCATTTGTTCTTAGATGCTGTAGTGTCTCTGTGAGTATTTTCCTATCCCTGCAGACCCCAAATTCAGAAGTCGCCATTTCCAAAAGAAGCTTTGAAGGGCCCATTATGCTTAGAAAGTTCCGATACTTCTCATATACCTTTTTTTGCAACTCCGAGGCGTGGCCGAGGAGTTGCGCGGCTCACCCGCTGAAGCGGGTGCACCGCAGTGGCTGCAGGAGAAGTGAGAGTTGCTCCACACCATCTCCACTCCCTACTGATAGGATTCAGGGTTCAACCCTTAGACCATGGACTTCCAAGGTTTCTGCCAGATGATGCGCATATCAAAGCTGCACTGCATAGTCCCATGGAGGGTCATACCGCATGTGTGTGTTGCCTTTGACCAAAAGTAGTCCCATCCATGGACCATGACCTCTTAACCCCAAACAGGCGGCTCACCCCGCCTGCAGAGCAATGTGCATGTTGGAAACCCCAAGCCCTACACGTCTCCCCAGGGCCCCTTCGGATACAGTCCCCTTTCAATAGATGGAATATGGCATTCCCCGAAATGATATGAAGATCCTCGCCCAGCCTATGTTTGGAGAGCTGTGTCCTTCTTTGAAGAACTTCCCGAAGTGGCGAGGACGCCTCAGCAAGCAGGATTCCAGCCTGCATCTGGCAGGAGGACACGCGAGCAACAAACGGGCTCTATTGGGATATTGGGGGGCTTATATGGGGGGCTATTTAAGGGCTGCCGCCGCTG